TATTATAATCAATGTTGTTACTGAAATATGTTTTTAAGCTTTGTTGGTTGTAAGGTCTGGTGAGTGGTTGGCATGATTTACAGAAATTCAAAACTTGAACAGTATCTCAAGAGTCTGTTGACATGTTTATCTATGTTTATACCATAACATGTACATGTTTTTAGCATGAAGTGACTCTGATGTTTTAGAAGACCTAGATTTTGAGAGTAAGAGTCAATTTAGCATACAGTTGGTATTCTTTGTCTGAGAGAAGTTAAAAACAGATGTCTCCAAATCCAGATATTCACTTAAATAACTACCATCACATTAAAAAGTCACAACTACAAACCTAGAGGTACATACCACCACATTACAAACAAGAGGCCCAATGGGCCTGTATTGCTCACATGTCATTCATTTCACATTTGTTAACTTCAAAAAAGGCCAAGGTCAATAGGCTACACATTGTGAGTCTTTGTTGGAAGATTTTAACTTGATAATCTCGCCTTCAAAGTCAGTTGATCTGGATCATACATTCTGACCCCAAATTTTGTATCCCTTTCCACAATTTAGCTACATGCCAAATATCTGTACCTTAGGCCTCTTGGCTATCCAGAAGACATCATTTGAATTTTCAACACCTTTGACCCTTGTGACCTTGAAAGTAGGTTAAAGTCATTCATTTTAACAAGTTTGATAGCCCTTCTTCCCAGCATTCTACTGGCCAAATATCATCACCCTAGGCCTCGTGGTTATTCAAAAGTAATTTAAGAATTTAAACAGAATTGACCCCAGTGAAGTAGGTCAAGGTCTTTCATTTGAAAAAAAATATACTTGACAGGCCTTGACCCTTGCATGCTATTTGATTAATATCATTGCCCTATGCCTCCGTGTTGTTCAGAAGAAGCTGTTTGAATTTATTAACAAATTGAAAGCCCTGTAACCTTGAAAATGGGTCAGGATAATTCATTTGCACAAATATACCCTGGGCCTTTCGGTTACTCAAAGGAAATTGTTTTACCTGGTAAGTAAAAGTTGATGCAGTACAGACGATGAACGCCACACCACAAATTTAGCACACTCAGCCCTTTTGGCCAGGTGAGCTTAAATCATACATACAAATCAGTAACTAACTTACCACCACATTATAAATACACATGCCTACAAATCTAGAGTCATTGACTTGTTTCAGCTTGACGCTCCTCGTCTCATAGGCAAGAAATATTCCAAATAGTAACAATATTCCTTTGTATCCATATATAACACCTGCCAACAAAACAAACGCAATGCTATCAAATGCTTGTGTATCAATGCTGTTGTTAGTACAAATACAGCGATCATTTACAATTCAAAAAATAATAAAACATGGTTATTAATGAGAGTTGAAAACAGCATTGATACAAGTTAAAACTTTTTTACCAGTGCTGTCTTGCTTAATGAAAATTGATTTATTGCTTCAGTGTACAATTGAGTTTGAAAAATACAATGTTTGAAAAACAGATCCTTCTATAAAGCAGTGATTAGATTCAGTGCCCTACCTAGCCAGATGGAGATATTTTTAGAAGTACAGTGTTCTAGTTCTGGTTGAAGTTTGATGTCCTCGTCCGTGTCTATTGGATCTTCTTTCTCAAATATTTCCACCTCTCGGTATAGAGGGTCCAGTACCTGCCAGGTGGTCAGCACTGCTATGTCTATGGTCAGTATTACACTCAGGACAGTAAACAGTTCACACCGCCTCACCACCTGTTATTATAGAAATGAAATGGTCAGTATAACCATACTTTGGACAGTCACATCGCCTCACCACCTGTTAATTACGGTATAATCACTAATGACAATTAAGACTATCATACCACAATAGCCAGAGTCAAACTAAGGACAATAGCACTGCATCACTCCATCAACTCCTGAAGCCCGGTTTTCATAAAGTTATTTTTTCCCCCTCTTTTTACATTATAGTTGCCAACTTGTTTTGGTGGGCAGGCTGTTGTCAGGATCCAATGTTTGGGAACAATTTACAATATAATCATGTCATCGACAAGTTACCTGGCAGTTCTATCCCATCTTATCTAATAATCATTGTCTTTATTTTTGACCTATCAATTAAGAGCTGAATCTTTGTTCTGTAAGTACTTGATCAGTTATTGATGGTACCTTTATTACAACTTTCAGGAAATAAAGTGCCCAAGAGTCCAAAACATAAAATTGGGCAGTATAAAGGTCATGTGAGCTAGGTCACCGCTGTGTTGACATCTACCTTTCTATCCTTTTTGTTGGCAGTGGTCAATCTGTGGACTGTCCAGATTTTGGAAAACATACCTCCATACGCAAATGTAAAACCAAGGGAGAGCATCCATGCTCTGAGCTGAAATGTACCAGATATGTGACATACATTTATATACACTCATTTTTTGTATACAATATTCCCTGGTACCATAGACTGTTACTCTTTTAAAATTTCATTTCATTTCAATTTTGGATTCTCATTAATGATTTCACCTGACACTTCAATGTTTTGTATTTTCGTCTTGTTACAAGGTGTAAGTCAATCGATTGTCATCTTATTTTAAATATCTTTTCAAAGAATTCAATAATTGAACTTAATATGACATTTTTTTCTATTAGAAATGTTCACAATACAACAGAATGCATAAGACACTGACCTGACATATGAGGGGGTAGAGTTCCGGGGAGATGAACTGGTTATCTAGCCCCAACAGAAGGATACACAGGAGACAGAGAATACAGCCAAACACCGTCACATTGTTTACACTTGGCTGAGAGTAGGCAATGCACCTGTCAAATAGGTAAAAGCAAGTTATTGTTTTCCATGTTGAACTTATACTTCAATTACTCATTACATTGTAAGGAAAAAATATAATTAATAATGGTATTAATTTTTGTACCTGCGATATATATATTTCTTAAGCTCATTCAAAGGGATTAAAAAGGGAACTGTGCTTGTTACAGAGTTTCATATCCAGGTGGTTTTATTTTACAATCTGTTTAACAAATTAGGACAAAGATGTCAGCTACCACTATCAGCAAAACATCAGAAGTAATTTCAATTTTATTTTGATAGTGTAAATAACATACCTGCGTTGTCTGTTTAGGAAGTTGAACATTATACAAAATATCCCGAAGGCAATACCAAAGGCAGCGAAGAAACACATAGCAAAGAAGAGTCCATGGGAGACAACTCTAGGTGCTGACTTGATGAGTGTATGGTCTGGTGGAACCTTACCCCCTGTGGAAACAGAATCACAAAGTTATGACAATACAATTAGTTTACAACTTAATTGATTGGTTTTCTAACATATCAAACTGCTTTACAATTTTGCAATGAGATAATATCCACCTTGGTATCAGTAAAAGTAATGTAGATTATCCTATTTCAAAATAGTCATGTGATCTTTAAATAAGGATCTAGAAAGCTAAACTCATATATTTTTCAGAAGAAGATAAAGTGAAACCCGTCGAAACAAAACACAAAAGGATCAATATAATATTAGCTTACACAGGTTCACTTTACAATGAAATGCTGTTTACAGTGAAATCTACCATCAGCAGTGTACCCTAAACGGGACAGTGTTTTTGATAAATAATGATGTATTTATACCTTAAACTGTCATTTTAACCGTTATCAGCAACCAAAAAGCTGATATACAGATTAATTAACACAAAAGTATTCTACAGCGTATTGTGAAAATTGCAACTTCTTTGAATGACATGCCAATGTCTTTGGTCGCTTTCCTACAAGTGTTCCGTTTTGGGTATGGTCCTGTTTGGTACATTGACATTAGTAGGTGTGGTTTAGAGAAGGTGTTATATGATACAGAATTATGTTATACTGTATTAATATACCTCTACTTTATTTACTCTTTATAAAAGTAATTGGTTAAAT